AAGTACCAAGCCATGAAGATACCGAGAAAGAAAATGCCGAGGTTAATGGTACCAAAGTACCAAGCCATGAAGATACCGAGAAAGTAAATGCCGGTGTTAATGGTACCAAAGTACCAAGCCATGAAGATACCGAGAAAGAAAATGCCGAGGTTAATGGTATAGCGAAGGGAAACATGGCAGCCACAACAGAGCCTTCTGCGGAAATATCGAATGCGTCTCCAGAAGAAGTAGGCATGGACGTGGACGCTGAAGATACCACAAGTACAGAGATCAATAATGGTCAACAAAATGCTCTAGTGAACGGCGCGGTTGCGTGATTAAACTAAGATTCAAAAACACTCAGATTGGTAACCGGCCTTAAAAATGCCTTACCAGCTGTCTCCAGATGGAGCTTGTCGTTTTTTTACTCGTATGTTAAAAGTCAGTCAGCACCCTAGGTAAAGATTGCATGAAAGTCGTTGATTTCTATTGAATGGCTCTTTTTTTTCTTAATATAGTGTATGTCCTATAGCTCACAAAAGTTAAAATTACTAAATATAAAAGAGCGTCATATATAGTGAGGATACAAAATAGGACAGTTTAGCATTCAACAGAAAAGTAAATTTTCCCCACATTACTCTTTTCCATTTGTTGATCTGAACGTATTTTTACGATTAATTGATCATGCCTTTTTCGAGCCGTTCAACTGCGATTGAATATCTCTTTGTACCACTGTGACTTTCGTTGTCATCATGATTTCTAAATATTCTCATTAAAACAATTCTTTTCAAAAGGTTTCCGCATATTACATTTACCGCGTGTTTTAGGCCAGGCTAGCGCAGTGCGCCCGATACATTTGCCATGTACTATATCACAGGCTAGTGCAGTGTGCGTACATCTACCACGTGTTCTATAACACAGGGTAGTGCAGTACGTGTATTACATCTACCACGTGTTCTATATCACAGGCTAGTGCAGTGTGCGTACATCTACCACGCCTGTTCTATATTACAGGCTAGTACAGCGTGCGTACATCTACCACGCCTGTTCTATATTACAGGCTAGTGCAGTGCACGTATTACATCTACCTCTGTGGCTCGGGAGACTGAGCAATCGCTTCCTGATCGATATAAAATAACAGCGCGGGACCCGGTAAACTAGAAAAATAATCTTACGCGATTCTGGATATTGGCTTTGGCCGTGACTCGGGAATTGCCGAATTCAATGTCCGGGATGTAGGAAAATAATAGCGCGTGAATCGGGATCCGGATCCCCACCATAAAGCAATTTTTTCATTTACATGACGCCTTTGGCTTACTTGTAAAAAAGTATAAGATAGCGGTTACTAGTTGGGACTGCGCTGATGTGCYGAATACAACAACGGTTTGTTTCTTATTACTGCATCGTAAATAGTTTTGATATTTTGTGACATGTATGGAATGCGTGTGGTGAAGGGCGTGGTTCTCATGGGGATGGAAAATGGCGTATTCAAGTGCAGAGCCATGTGCTAGAGGGAGGAAACGAGATTGGCGCTCAGCTTTGTAGAGTCATAGGAAACTTGTTATTTGGAAAAAGCGTCCTAAGAATCAAGCGAGCTGCGTAACCTGAAGCTGGTGGAAAAAAAGAACAGTTGCTTACTTCTTTTTCAACAAGTTTTATATAGTTTTTACTTTTCGTTTTCGAGGGCCATAGGTTAGATAATGAGAGGTTAATTATGTTATCCTAGTAAAATAAACTAAAATTGTAAATCACAGGTAGCCCAAGCAAGGTAAGAAAAAAGAAAAAATATGGAATTAAAAATAAATAAATTTGAGCATAACTTGCTCCTGTGTTGATAATAATAATAATGATCATGATGATGGTGATGATGATGATAATAATGATTACAACAACAACCTTTATTTATGTGYCATAAGTATATATCTAGCTTACGTTAAAGTAGGCTAATTGGGGACACCTATCTAAGGCTAAATAAATATACATATAATAAAAATAATATATCATATGTGGTGCGGTTTTTACGCAGAAAACTCCGAACCGCCAGCCTCAAGAGAGGAGAGAGGAGAGCCCGGACAGACCGCTACTAGTACCACAACCAYCCGGCCTCCACCCACCCAAGCGAACCAGAAACCCGGGCGAAAAACGCACACAAAAAAACACATACTATTTACAATCTAAAGAGTTTCCTCATACCTTAAAACTATAAAATATTCCATCTAAATGATGCAAAAATTAGCTTTTCAAAAACTGCTCTAAAACAGCTAAAAACCTTTTTTTTCGTCCCCGCCACAAATACCTTGCTTGGGCTGCCTGTGTGTATATTTACCCATGGAACCACGCGGGTAGCTTCCCAGGAAATAATTCGACGATATTTTTGGAAGAGTATCGGTCCTTGATTTTCATCCTTCATTTGAACCACTTCTAGCTCTTCTTACTTTATACTCGTCTAGTTTAAGGTATGGCATATCCAGGTTATGGTGCTCCAGGAGGTTATCCCGGGGTAAGTAGGGGGAGGTTAGTTATTTTATCACCTCAAATTCAACCAACAAACCTTTTACTTTCCAACCTCCTTTATCTCTTTGTACTGGCAGAAGCTTAAAGACTCTTTCTAGCTTCAGCAGTTTAATAATGCTTCTTTAATAACAGCTGCTGCTCTTAATCGAAATCTTTAATACTTTGTCGTGATAGTATATTTGATTTGAGTTCGATATTTAGGTTTTAATGGTAGAATTGTGCTTTTTTTCGTTGTTATTTTGAGTGTTTATTTTGAGGCGTAAACCCAGTAACAACAGCAGACTCTATAGCTTCGATCTTATTGAAAACTTATCCATCCTGATACTGGATTTCTGCTTCAGCAGACCTCATCCCTAACATATCTCGTGCATATATAATATATATAACACTACTTTGAATAATTTACAGACAGTTAAACTCTAATTTATAAATTTCAAAATCATTGGCAAGCTTATATTTAAAATTGAGGCCTAATTATGAGTATTGAAGTAGAAGTAGTTGCTGCCCATCACTTTGCATTAAGAAGGCATTAAGCTGTAATAAAGCATAATGCCGACATGCTTGCAAGTTGACTACTGTAACAGACTTAGTTCATATTCCAGAACTTGTTTCATACAAAAAATAGCTCCAAAGGTCTAACTCCTAACCTCATTGCACATTCAAGGGTTATATATAAGTGCTAGTATTCAAGGGATATGTCTAGATACAGCCCTTGAATTCCTAATGACCAGGGATATGTGGGTTATAAAGCCTTACAAATAACAAGGAAAACTGTATCAAGTATAAGCTAATTCTAGATTAAGTGACTTTACAAAAAAAATATGCTTTTTATAATATTAATCCATTCAACAAAATTTCTCGTTTCTGATTGGACAAGAAGAGTACAATTAAATCCCAAATTGTACTCTGTAGAGTCCCAATTAAGTTGCTCAATCTTTTTGAGTGTATTATGAACAAAAAATTGCACAATCGTCTTGTACTATTCATAACTATACTGTTATACTCTATAAACAAAGTTAATTAATTTTATTTTTACAGAGAAACTCTCACACAAACTTGCTCAAAAATATTTTATAAAAGCAATATAAAACAGCTGCTTATGTCTCTGTACTGTGATATAAACACTCTGGAAGCTGTAGAGCACTTGAGAAGCCAGAAAAACACTTGGCTGCGCCTCATGTTCCTAAGCCTGCTTCTCTTTTGCTCTACAGCTCCCAGCATGTTTATATCACTGTAAAATGCATTTTATATTCCATAAATATAATAATTATATAATTAAGAGAAGCATGGGTGGTGGAGCGGTGAGAGTGCTTGCCACTCACCAATGTGACCCTGGTTCGAGTCCCGCCGTGCTTGGTGTCGTATGTGAGTAGACGAGTTACTTGTTGGTTCTCTCCTATGCTTCAAGGGTTTCTCCGGGTTCTCCGGTTTTTCCCTCTCCATAAAAATGAACTTCTGAATTCTCAGAATCCAGTGGAAGAAGAGCCACTGAGCTGTAGAATCCACTGTTAATCCCATTATTTATTTATTATTCATTAATATTTATGTAGAAAAAAACGTCCTTTTTTCAAGAGGGTAGCACTTAATATCCAGTGGCTAACAAACCTGTGGCCGTCATTCCATGATTGAATTGGAATTCAGGAGTTGATTTTTGCGGAGGGAGGAAAACCGGAGAACCCGGAAAACCCTCAAAGCACAGGAGAGAACCAACAAACTCTACTCATATACAACACCGAACCTAGCGGGATTCGAACTAAAACTATATGTACTGTATATATATTATTTTGTAATGATTAATTTTCTTCTAAATGGTTGAGCCAGCAGCTGGGATTTTATAATAATTTTGATAAATATTAACCAAAAATGTTTAATTGAGAAATTAATTGAGGCTTTAAATCAACATGGGAGAGCCGTTAATTGATTGACAGCTTCTTGTAAATGTTGGAAATAAACTTGAACATTCTTTGACATACTTTCATTATCAAAAATAGCAGCTGTACTGCATATACCAACGATAAATTATGTTTTATTATTTACTCTAAGGGATATCCAGGCTATCAACAACCTCCAATGGATCCTTTATATGGTTATTTTCAACAAGTTGCTGGTCAGGTAAAGCTATTATTAGAGTGTATTACACTTTTGGTTGTGTATTACAGCCGGGATAATTTTATGAGTGAAAGTGGCCGTATTTTTTTTGAGCCCCACAATAAATTGTTTATTGGGTGATACAGAAAAACTGAGAAACAGTGCATGAAAAACAGCCATTTTTATTGTAAACAAGCAAACTTAGAAGTCACAAACTCAAACCAATTACGTGAGCTGCACAAAGGAAAAGGAGAAAATTTCCTCACGCTGACATTAGCGAGAAAACCCCTTCAAAACCTATTTTCACAGACCATGTATTATTGCTCTATAATTGCACTTGAAAAATGGTCATAATACCAGGGAAATTGAGTGTGGCGTATAATAAGTATAAATAATTATTAATTTAGTTATTATTAATAAATTACAACTAAAATAATAAAATAATTATCAGTGTGTGATCAAAAACGTTTTTTTCTGTCCTTATTCAGACTTTTTTACTTCTTGATTTTTAAGAAATATAGTAAATATTTGCAAGCATTTATATAAATTATTATCATTTTAATTTTTTATGGTTTTACTAGTAATTATTTATTTTCTTCTTGTTAGATAAACATTCATTTTAGTCTTGGTGCGATCTGACTGTTGATAGAGTGAAGTCATTAAACCCATGAAATAGATATTAGACTAATTCTTATCTTTTGTTTCTATTTGACTATTACACGTTGACTAATAGTTCACGGGTTAAATGCCTTCACTCTATACCAAAAAAACAGTCCCAAGAAATGTTTATTAAGTAATATATACAGTATGAGTGGCCGTGTGTTGTATCAGATATACAACCATGAGGCGTAGCCAAGTGATTGTATATCTGATACAACACGGACACGAATACTGTATATGACTTATCAAACGTCTAGGTTAGTTCCTTTGTGTTTCACTAAAATTTTCAAAATTAAAGTGAATTTGGCCAAGAAAATCCAACTTAAAGTTTATGCAAATGAACACAGTTTTGTATCAGATTTACAACACTCTTCACAGTTGTGATTTCTGTTGTGTTTTCCTCATGAATTATTAATGAGTTTGATAATAATATTTATAAATATATATATAACATGTATTCCAAATTGATATTGTTGTGAACATTTCTAACCATTAGGACCAAGAGATTGATGCCCAAGAGCTTCAAAGATGTTTGACAGCATCTGGTATATCTGGAACCTACCAACGTATGTATGGCATTAAGCTTACATGTATCAATCTCATTCGATTGCCTTATTTCACTATGCCATCACAGCTAGCTTGTTTATGATGAGAGAAAGAATAGAAAAGAACTATAACAATTTGAACTAATTTAAATCTGCAGCTGAATTGATAGCTTTGATATGTTTTGTTTTGAAAAAAAATTTAAATCGTTCTTTATACTACAAAATATATATATACAGTATATGATGCATGGCTATTTTTACACTAGGGGTTATGGTTATAAAAACTTTGGGCTGATTAAAGTCAGGGCATGGCTAACTCACGTATTGAACCCTGAAACGACCTCAGAATTAAAAATAAGGAGTAAAAATCTTGTGCTTGTCCCACTTGAATTGTTACTGCAGTTTTCTATATTCTGCAAATTAAGAACTCGGTAGTTGCAAGCTCCATGCTGAAATTTGTTTTTTCAGTGTCATTATTCAAAAATAATCAGTTGGTACCTTTTATGTTCTTGACTGGCAGCAGTAAAAAACTAATTACGACAAGCCGTTGAAATGTCTGAGTTCGCAGAATATTGGAAACAGCAGTAATTTGCACCCTTTTAGGTAACAGAAAGTTTTACATGTTTTTATTTATTTTCTTTTCCATAGCATTTAACCTTGAGACATGCAGGTGAGTGAAAGGGTACCAGTGTAAGATATTATTGTGCCACTCATTAATATGTATAGTTCATGTAATTTACCACTTCAGCACTCGCCATCACGTGATATGAATTTTATTGGATTGTGTTATGATCACCAAGAAGTTCGGAGACATTGTTATCGGATTTGGGTACAAAAGTTCTGACTTTTAAACAAATCATTTACTTGATTAGTTGAGTTAGCTCCCTAAATTCAAGCAAAATATAATTTTTCTAACTTGATTGCAGTTTTCTTACTGCTGTTTAGAGAAACAGATAAACAAACCAAGTAAATAAATTGTCCAAAAGTTAGTACATTTGTATGCCTGGGTATCCAAGAACAATGTCCAGCCTTTTTGGTGACCGTAACACAAGCCAACACCTTTTACACCACACGACAGCAAACGTCAAAGTGATCAATTTGTCTATTCTAAAATTGAAGACGTAATGATACCTCTACATATATACACAAACAATAATTTTCTAAAATTTCCTTTACTGTGGTACTCAATATTTTGCAAACTTGGTAGATGCGAGCTACATACAGTACTGATATTTGTTCACTGCCATTGAAATGGGTTTGTTGAGTTTGTCATCTATTTCAATCAAACCTTCAATTTTTATTCATACTGTACCCTGAAACAACTGAGTTGATCAAAATCAGGGTATGGCTAATTCATGGATAAGATTAGAATTTAGCATGTCATGTTTTGCCGAGGGAGGGGAGAAGGAGGGAAGAAGGAGCGAAGAAAAATGGAAAACCATGAAGAAATTCTAGATAAAATGAGAAAACTAACAAACTCCAGTGCTCGCATGTGATGCTGAGTCCAGGAATCAAGCTGAGACCCAGAGATGAGAGAAGAAAGAAAGAGTACTTTGCTGCTACTGTATGACTCTCATCAAATCATTTTGACTCATACTCCTCAAATTATGGTGTTATTTTTAAAATTTGGAAGGGGTTCATGACAATTCCATATGAATTTTCAGCCAAAATATAAATTAATAATCTTAGACATGGCTGATATGACTATGAATAAAGTGACTTCTCGATTGATTTTAATATTGGTTCGTGTTTGATTGCTGATTATTGTCATCTGTTTAACAGGTTGATGATCAACATGCTTGATGTATCCTTTTTGCCATTTTGTTTTTTTAGTTGTTTTGTTAATAACACAGGGACAGTAACCTCTGATACTCTTCGTATACATACGGACGTACTGTACAACGTACTTGTCTGCTAGATTTTCCTATCTAATCACATCCCACTTGTTTTTAAAGTGCACCTAACCCCTGATACAATACTTTCAGTATTGATTCTACATAAAGTAAATAATTGAATGGTGAAATATTTCTTCATTTGAATGTTAYGTCTTTAAGTTATGATGGTTTATACAGCTGGCCTTTGATTGTATTTTTGTTTTAATTTTTAATACTAAACACTAGCCATTATGAGACATCAAATTTACAATTAATATTGTGGAAACCTCGAGTATAATGATGATGCTTTTTAAATACTGTTGTGTGAACCAGTCAAAATTYGTATATGAAGGCTGGGGTGACATCACAATCAACAAACAACTCTACTCACATACATTACGTACTGTATGACAAGTCCGAGAATCAAACCCAGGCCGCATTGGTGGAGTCGAGTGCTCTTACCGCTACGTCACCCATGCTTCCCAATTACAACTTCATAACCAAATGCTTATTTTTCAATGTATAGTATACAGTATATATCTCCTGATTCCTCCTTGACTTCCATTTAGCGTGACTATAGTGGAAAAATGGGTTTCACTGAGTTCAAGGAAATATGGGCAGCTCTCAACCAGTGGAAGGTACGGTATTATAGTATGGTGTTATTACAGTGTTATATTACAGTATAATAACCCTTCTTCGTATTGATGTCACCCCCAATGGGAATGAGGAGTACCCCAAAAAGTGGTATGTTTTGTTTTGCATTTTTAAAATATTGAGGGCTAAGCTCTTGTATCTTAGTATTTACAGTCAAACCACCTCAAACGTGAACGTGTAGTTCCAAAAATTATCCATACCCACCCCACAGAGGAATTTGGAATTTCCCAAGAGTAGTGGGGTCAGAGAAAGAACAAAAATTACAGAGTTTGTATGGAAGAAAATTGGAATTTCTGGGGGGTAGGGGGGTGTCTTTCCTCAGTAAGGGGGGTATGGATAATTTTTGGAACTACACAATACATAAAGGTCATTAATGACTTTGTTTTTGGACTCTTGATTTCATTATTCGATTTGAACATCACTTTTTTTGTCCTTYGTTGTTCAGACATGCTTCATGCAGTATGACCGTGATAGGTCAGGTACTGTGGAACCTCATGAACTTCATCAAGCCCTTTCTTCATTTGGTAAGCAAATCACAGAGTCTTTCTTCTTAAATTTTTACAATGCTAATACACCAACCAAAGCCACCCAGTTAATTTTCTTACCAATTAGCCACATATCAAGTTTTGCTCCATACGATAGTGTCAAAGTTGGAGTTGAGAAAGGTCACTCCATATATRGAATCATATAATTCCATATTTGGATTGCGGGTCTTTACCCTGARGTCAAAGATGGCAGACAAGCGTGATGTTCGGCTGGCGAAATGGCTGAGAGACATTTACGAGCTTGGCGAAGACGAAAAACAAGAAAAAACTACAAAAAACGAGCTTCTCCCCAGTCCCTTTTTTTAAGACCAGGAAAGAGAGCTTTGACACTCATTGTTTGATATGATCACAATGGAGTATTTAAATAATGGAATTTGCACAAATTTGCACAATTTCCCCTTAGACAAGGACAAGGACTTTAAACTGTAGGTCCAGTCTGTCTTTATTATTTAACCCTGTATACACAAGGCAGACCTAAAAAACCCCACTGAAGGTGCTGGTGATGACCACCTTCAGTGCCTGTGCTAACACTACAGGGCTCACAGTGATAGACCTCTTGCATGTGACGTCAAAGCAGCTTGATCTGGGGGACAAAGCAAAAGAATTCCAATCTCCTGAGAATTGGGACTTATTGTTATGTACTCCAAATTGAGCTGCATTCCGACATGCTGCACGAGGTATATTGGTGAAAGGCTGTTATGGTGTCCCTGCCCTCACGGGAAAAACGTAACAACATGAATAAACATAATTGGATATACCTTGCACTCTTTTGAAATGGAAAATGTAAAATAAAATTTCAAATGGAATATAACTGCACTGATATGCTTTGATTCATATTCCTTTGTGTCTACTAGGGTACAACCTGAGTCCAGCTGCCCTTAATGTGATGGTCAAGAGGTATGCCATTAATAATCGCATTACTTTTGATGACTTTGTGTCATGCTGTGTTCGACTGAGGGCTCTAACAGGTAAGTTTAATGTTGTGCCTAGAGGCTTTGCACCATCACGTGATAGCAGCCATGACAGGAGGCACAACAATAGAGTCTTTCCCCCTGGGAAACTGAATCCTTTATTATGTAAATCAGATTAGATCAGATTCAATAGCCCCAATCCACTGTTTTCGCATTCCAGACCTTGTGTCATTCCCTTGAGTATCACTTCTTTGTTTATCAATTGCACATGAGAAGACACATGAATATGGATACAACACAACAAAAAATCTTATTCTCAAGAGAATGATGCATGGTCTGAAATGGGCAAAACATTAAGCCCAAGTAGAATTGTTCCCTTGTTCCTGCCTCCTGTCATGGCTGCCACCAAGTGATGGTGCCAAGTCTCTGTAGTTTGATTTTTATTGTGTGTATTTTTTTTGAGAAATGTATATATCAACAAGATCTTATATTTAAAAGTATCAAATCATATATAGACCCCTAGCACTGAGTCCCGAGAGGAAGTGCTCTGGGGAACGAAACGATCGATTTTTTCTTCACATAAGAAAAGATGGGCTATTTCCTCTAGGGACTCAWTGCAAGGGGTCTACACATTAGCAAGTTTTTGTATTTGCATGTCAGACTTTAAGCAAGTAAGCTTGCCCACTTTCTTTTATTAGGACATTATAGAGATTTTAATACTCTGTGTAAATTCCTTTATGGTCACCATTTATCATCATCATCATTCATTATTATCATTGTCCAGCATAATTCATTACTTAAACCATCATTAATCATCATTGCCATCTTTTTTTATTATCACCATCGTGAACATTATCATCACTATCATCATCAACAACAGTATCATCACCATCATAAACAACAGTATAATCATCATCATCATCACCATCATCAACAATATTATCATCACCATCAACAACAACATTATCATCACCATCATCATCACCACCATCATCACCATCATCATTATCACCATCACCATCATCACCATCATCATTATCACCATCATCACCATCATCACCATCATCATTATCACCATCACCATCATCATCACCATCATCACCATCATCATTATCACCATCATCATTATCACCATCATCATCATCACCATCATCATCACCATCATCATTATCACCATCATCATTATCATCATCACCATCATCATCACCATCATCATTATCACCATCATCACCATCATCATTATCACCATCATCATCATCATCACCATCATCATTATCACCATCATCACCATCATCATTATCACCATCATCACCATCATCATTATCATCATCATCACCATCATCACCATCATCATTATCACCATCATCATCATTATCACCATCATCAACATCATCACCAACAACATTATCATCACCATCACCATCATCATTATCACCATCATCACCATCATCACCATCATCAACAACATCATCACCAACAACATTATCATCATCACTATCATCATAAACACCATCATTATTAACATCCTGATTATTATTACAAAAGACTTAATGTTGAATTTTCTGATTTACAATGGTCTCCAAGGGAAACATGCGCTTGTAATGTGGCTTTGGTCGCTTCTGACATTTGCTTGCCTTTTTTTTACAAACTGCGCAGATAATTTTCGCAGACGTGATGTGAGTCGAACCGGAAATGCAAATTTTACGTATGACGATGTAAGTACATAACCTATTTATGCGTCATCATTAATGCGATTTCCGTATAAGCAGGAACGATACGGCCGGATTGCGGCCGTGACCTGTATTACCTAAACCTTGTTATGGGCTGAAGCACAAGAAAAGTAAATAAAAAATGAATGAATGAGTGGATGAATGGAGGGAGGGAGGGAGGGAAGGAAAGGGAAGGAAAGGATGGATGGAAGGATGAATAATAGCATCATCAAGGAAAGCCATTTCAGTGTTACGCGCAGGGCATGAAATTAACTTTTAAACCCACTAGCAAAACCTTGCTAGTAAGTTTTGTTCTCACTAGCAAAAATTTCAAAGTCACTAGCGATCGGACGCAGTGAATAACAAACGTTACTTGATGCGGGTTCTAAATTTTCAGTCCTTCAATTTCTGGACTGTGGTCATACTCTCAAAACGTATCCAGTTAAAAAATTTTTGTCACTTTCTAAATACAAAATTTCACCCGCATTTTGCGAGTTTGCGAGCGTTAATATCGTGCCCTGGGTATTTCGTATTGTGTACGTCCTGTATGTCCATGACAAACTTTTCCCACTCATATGAAAATCACTCCAGTCTAGAAAGATTGCGAAAGCCGTGGCAAATTATGGCTCATCATTTGAATCATTTGATAGATATCTGTCAATGCCTTGGCTTATCATTTTGCAGATAACTTTGGAACGAGCCCAAAGACCAATCAAATTGCGCGTATGAATAAATTAAGATAGCAGCCAATCACAGTCTATTATTTAACATTTATTCGCCGAAGGCGAAGTGATTATCGGGGAATACATACCGAGACGCTAGTCTTCGAGCGGCGAGGTAAATATTCTCCAATAATCACTGAGCCTGAGGCAATGTTTTAGTATAAATACACAGGTGATTCTTTCAAAAAAAGAAAGATAAAAAAGAAGATAAAAGGCATTTTTTTCGGTAACAGCAACAAAGCGGCTGGCCGCCATTTTGAATTTTCGCTCGAGGTGATTATCGTGTGATAATGTGAGTTTCTTGACCAATCAGCGCGCGAGATTTTCTATAATCACCTGCGTATTTTTACTAAATATATTTAATCATGCAATCACGCTAGGGATCCAGAATGAGGAATCTTGTGACGATTTTGCAGACTGTCTTAACCAGAGTTAACATCGGGCTGCACGCAGGCAACTTGTCAAAGACAATTGCTAACTTTTTTCTTTTTTCCCTCACTTGTCTTCCCAGTTCATCCAAGTGACAATGTACTGTTAGAAKATCCCAACAACAGCTAGTGCTGCATGATAGTCTGGCTCATCAGCGTGGATATCAATTATAATCCTATTTCTTATTAATGTTTTTTAATTCTAGATAAATGTAGTCATTTCACCATACTTAAAGCAGGCGAGGAATACTGCTTGGTTCGACATGGTTCTAGATTTGATTTATGCAGTTTTTATGTTACAGTAGAAAAAAGTGAACCGTTGCTTAGAGGTTCTCTCTTTGATGCTGCTGCTGTTGTTGTTGCTATGGCACTTGCAAAGCAGTATTCTTCGCCCTATTCCTTTAATGTATTTTCATCCTTTTTAAGTTACTCTTCACGAGTGCCCTCAGATTGAACGGGTTTAACGTATTCAAAACTGATTGCCCAAAGGAGCTAATGTTTGCATGATTGCTTAATAGCAGTGCAGAGCACAGATGACGTCATAAAAACGAAGGCAGGGGCGAAAACTCAAACAAACACTCATATTATACCTTTCAGCAAATGGTTTTCATAGTCGTTCGCAGTAGACTAGATGCTTGTTTAATAGACCCTTGCATGTGACGTCAATGCAGTTCAATTTGGAGGACAAAACAAAAGAATTTCAATCTCATGAGAATTGAAAACCCATTGTTATGTCCTCCAAATTGAGCTGCATTCCGACGTGCTAACTTTAAGTAAAAATAATAAAATGGGTTCGTAAACACTCGAGATAAGGCCTACCTCCAGTATAATATGATTTATATAACACAGCTGACATCACATTACCAAAAAACCATTTCCAGTTTTACAATCTATAGAACGAAAAGATAACTAGCTAAAAACTAGTGTGAGCTGCGTTGATATTTCTAATGAAACAGTAATGATAAAAGGGTAAATTATACACCGTGAAAAGATGAAAAAACTTACTGACGTTTCGGACGCTAGTCCTTCATCTATAGAACGARTCACTATAGATATGACATAAGAGTAGCATAAATTATATTATACTGGAGATATCCTCGACTTGGTTGGTTAAACGAAATGCAACGTTTGTCTGAGTGTTAAAAACTTATTTTGAAAATCTGTGCGCTGCACTAGTCATTCCACACTCGCAGAATGTAACGAGAATTGTCCTTTCTTCCATTAAGTGACCGTCCCCTCCACCCAACATAGTATTGAGTGAATTGTACTTTTTGTTTTAGCCTTTTGCTATAAAAATTGTCATAAAATGTCTGTATGGTTGTAAACAATTTTTAGAAAATGTCTGAAAATAATGGAAAACTGTTATTGTAGTTTATTGGCATTTCTTCAGTTTTATCCTATTTATTCATTATTTTTTTCGTGTTTGAAAAGCGGGCAAACAACTTACTTATCCTGGCCCTAAAGAATCTTTCTTGGAAGAATTTATGAATTTATGAAAATCACTAATTATTGTGCTTGCTAGTTTTTCACGGGTAGTACTTTTTTGCGGGATTAAGGAGGCTTCCTACGGTTCTTAGTAGTCGACTTTGGACGGCCGTAGCTCTTTTATGCAAGCACCTACAATTTTGAAATTTAACCCACTTACTGTACGAAGATTACGAGGATGTACATTTTATTGGAATCGAAGTTACCATAGTAACAGAACCTTGACGTCAATTAGCAGTGATTAACTTTACGCCTTATTCGATTTAAACTTTTACAGTGCGTTTCAAATAACTTTGGACGATTGGTTTCCGAAGTTCGTTCGGAAGTTCCGAGGTTTGTAGTAGTTCAGAAGTTCACAACGGACTTCGTACTTACTTACAATTCGGTAATTCAGTTAGATATTAGATATTGAATAAGTAAAGTCTGGACATTCGGATTTAAAGATTCTTTTGCGACAACTCGAAGCTTTTTAGTAGGAATAACCCCGGGGGGGGGGGGGTGGACTCCTTTATACAAGAAGGCGGGGATGCTCGTCGTACCTTTTAGGGGTCCAAATCAGCGATCTGGTCTTCAAAATTNACAAGAAGGCGGGGATGCTCGTCGTACCTTTTAGGGGTCCAAATCAGCGATCTGGTCTTCAAAATTTTTTTGAATTATAAGAGACTAAGGTGTTACCTTTTAGGGTAATTTTTTCCCGCTACCATAGCTACAATAATTAAAATGATGCTATTAAAATCTGAAAACTATTATATTTGGCGTTTTCAAGTTGGTACCTTTTTGGAGGTAAAAAGCATGTGGTGCCACGCCCTTCTGATAAAACTCAAGTACCTTTTAGGGGCCATTTTCGAAAATTCCGACGAGCATCCCCGCTCTTTCTGGGTTGGAGTCCCTCCCTCCTCCCCCCCCCCCTCCTCCTCCGGCGGGAAATAACCCAAGTCCTTTGTGGAACATCGGCATATGGAAGCAAGAGATGGAATATTTTGCACTAGACAAATAATATTGTTATCTACAAGTTGCTTGCCTCAATGTCCCTGTAATACTGGGCTTTACTTGTTTACTATATTCGATTTGCAAACACACATCGTCAGTTCGGGTATAGTTGCAATTCTATTTCCTCCTCGGCAGAACCATTTTTCAAAAAAAAATCGAATCTATTAGCTACCGTTTGCCGCGAGCCGAGATATTTAGTCTTTTTGTAACTTTTACTTTTGATCCCATATAGGTAACTGTCCAATTATTTTCTTRATCATATCCTTTTTGTTATCACTACCAAATCCTACAATCTGATTGGTTCAAAGGAATGCGATTAATTCCCAAATCGCATCCTTAGGAGCTCTTAATCGCATCTTTAGGAGATCTTAATCGCATCTTTTTGAAAGAACCAATCACAGAACAGAATGCTTAGCTTATATTCAGCCAATCAGAGAAGAGAATGATTAGAATCATTTATGAATATTTAATGATTTGCTGATAAATCGTTTATTTTATACCAGGAAAAACCTGATTGATTTACTTCTTGTTCTACATTAAATTGATTATTCTGCACTCTTTATTGTGTCTTTTTCTTGTTTATGATTACAAAATTGCACGACACGAAGTTCAGTTACCACTTAATCATATCCATTTAGGCAAGTGGAAAATTGATTTCTAATGAACTCCGAATCCAAAAGGCCTAGATACGATAAGTCAACTGTGGAACTGTTGTAAAGACTGTAAAGTAAGAGAATATTAAGTAAGCTTACTTCATATTCTCTTGCTGTAAAGTCATAGGAATAAAGGGATATCCATTTAGGCAAGGGGAAAATTGATTTCTAATGAACTCCGAATCCAAAAGGCCTAGATACGATAAGTCAACTGTGGAACCGTTGTAAAGACTGTAAAGTAAGAGAATATTAAGTAAGCTTACTTCATATTCTCTTGCTGTGCAATTACTTCTCTTCGAAATGTGCCTTGGACCACCGTCCGGTTGTTCGGCGTACATCAACGCAAACCAATATTCTCTTGCTTTCATTTATATTTGTGAAAAGGTGTACTGAGTTAGGATTCCTGAAAAAAGAAGAAGAAGAAGAAGAAGAAGAAGAAGAANAAGAAGAAGAAGAAGAAAAGGAAGAAGAAGAAGAATGGTTACCTTCTTTAAAAAATGAACATTCTATTAATTACAGTATTGCTTTTAGTGAAGCTGAGTCACAGTAAGATTGCAGTTAAAATATAAATTTGAAGTTTAGGTCATCCATTTTTTACCCCTATTAAAACGTAACTTTTGTTTACTTTGACTAATAAATATGGAGTTAAAAAAGAAGAGGGTAAAGCAATTCTCCAAAGCCTAGTTTTTTAACCACGAACTCCAAAAGAAGACTACAATTTTCGGTCTAAAAATGTCGAAACACCCCMCAATCAGACGGGGACTGGCACGAGTATGGTCACGTGACTCGCCAGTCTGTGCCAACGTTTGTTCAAAATAAAAAAAGCAAGCCTCGAAAAAAAGGTAAACTTTGTACTTTTTAGCCATCTTATTGAATTGAATAACATGGTGACGTTAGCAGAAAGATTAAGCTTGGTAGCAGAGTTGTTTTTTTTAAAGAAAGTATTGCTTAATCAAGTCACAGTAGTCGCTTGAATATTATATAATTTTACCCGTAATATTGAATCGCTTTGGTCGGCTTTACTCAGTTGTTTCGTTTCGTGATTTCACATCAATTACTTTATTTGATTGACAACTTCAACTTCATTGAAGGAAAATTCTTTTAAGCATCTTAGCTTCTTTTTTTAATACTCTCGTCGGATTAGCTATTATTCCTAACTGTCTCAACCAAATCGTGCCAAACTGTTTGTTGTTTTGCAATATTGTGGGCTAGTAAATGACTGACAAGGTCGTCCAAATCTGGTATGAAAAAATAAACCATTTACATGTCACCTAAATAATAATACTGTTCTTGGTCTGTGTGCTCGGATCTTGACAAAGGGATGATAAATCAAATTTATTATGATCTAAAGTCGTTGGTTATTATATCGAAGTTTATCATTGAAAGCTCAGCCGTCAAACTACGGTAAAATCAGGCAATACAAAAGTTGCCAGTGTTTTAAACTGTCATTGTTAGATACTGAAGCTTTCAAGCTTTAAAAGTGGAGAGTGTCGTATTTTTTCCTTTATTATTTTTCCTGACGAAATTCGATTATTGGTAATAAATACATGGATAAAATTATGTATGTTCTAGTAAAGTGGGAGAAGAGCAAGGTTTTGGATAGTACAACGTTATAGGGAATCTTTATTTTTCTGAGTAATTATTCGTGCTTGCACTATATGAAAAAAACAATGAATTTTCTATAAAATAGGATACAGGCAAATTCATAAAGGTCAACATTTTTGGATCGGTGAAGATCGGAGAAGATCGATAGCATGGAAGAAGATGTTTCTCCGAAGTTCATGAATTCATGACGTACGATATCCCTTTATTCCTATGACTTTACAGCAAGAGAATATGAAGTAAGCTTACTTAATATTCTCTTACTTTACAGTCTTTACAACGGTTCCACAGTTGACTTATCGTATCTAGGCCTTTTGGATTCGGTGTTCATTAGAAATCAATTTTCCACTTGCCTAAATGCACGATTTTGGGGGGGGGGGGGGGGGGGGGGTACAGTTTTAACTTTTTACTATTTCCGCCGAGATGTATTTCCCGAACTAGAGACATTTTGGAGAGAGTGAAATCCTGAATACTTTGAATGGAGCCCCCTAAGTGAAGGTTCATATCAAGAGAATATGAACTGTCATGTTCTCTTGCTCATATCATTTTCAAGATTGAATGTGAATACCCGCTTTCCCAATCATTTCTAACACGGTTCCATGTTCGTAACTTATAACTTTTTTTGTTTTTAGTGCGGAACATGGCAAGGCATTGCATTATACCTCTGACACTAGAAATGTTTCTTCACGGACTTGAAATGTGAATCACAGCGAGGAAATCCGAAAGAAGCTAAATAGAAAGATGCTTCGCTCGATGAAGCTAAAGTCTCTGAACCCTCACATCACTTGTGTACTGTGTGGAGGATATCTCGTGGATGCTACTACCATCATTGAGTGTTTACACTCCTGTAAGTCTTCAAACGGTGCTCATAGTTTGTGGGTAATTCAATATTAGAGAGTTTTAGATTGACTTTCTCCCCGCAAACGGCAAACGTGGCCACGTTTTCATAGTTTTCGTGTATTTTACTTTACCTTTTACAAACCTTCTCACCAAGCGCAAATACTCTTTTGTTTTTCTACTACTTGGACTTTTTTGCGATTCTTTTTCAGTAATCTAAAAGAATTTTTTACTGGTCAACTGACGTTTCACGTTTGCCGTGAACGTAAATCTAAAACTCTCTATTTTCCCGTTTTAAACCTTAATTTTTGTATGAATTTCTGTAACCTCTGGGCTATCAAGGCACGGCTAACCTGGCTAACTCACATATCCAACCCTGAGATGCCAACCCTGAAACGGCTCTTGGCTGAAGTCAAAGTCAGGACACGGCTAACTCACAGAATTGGAATCTAGCTTGTTGGATTTTTCGCGGAGGGTGGAAAACTGCAGAACTCGGAGAAAAACCCTCGAATCGTGGGAGAGATGTTAACTTTCCATATGTGAATGTAAGGATCAAAAAAAAAAAAAAAA